CTCCCCTCTCCCCTCTCCCCTCTCCTCTCTCCTCTCTCCTCTCCCCTCTCCTCTCCCCTCTCCCCTCTCTCCTCTCTCCTCTCTCCTCTCTCCTCTCTCCTCTCTCCTCTCCTCTCTCCTCTCTCCTCTCTCCTCTCTCCTCTCTCCTCTCTCCTCTCTCCTCTCTCCTCTCTCCTCTCTCCTCTCCTCTCTCCTCTCTCCTCTCCCCTCTCCCCTCTCCCCTCTCCTCTCTCCTCTCTCCTCTCCCCTCTCCTCTCCCCTCTCCCCTCTCTCCTCTCTCCTCTCTCCTCTCCCCTCTCCCCTCTCTCCTCTCTCCTCTCTCCTCTCTCCTCTCTCCTCTCTCCTCTCTCCTCTCCCCTCTCTCCTCTCTCCTCTCTCCTCTCCCCTCTCCCCTCTCTCCTCTCTCCTCTCTCCTCTCTCCTCTCTCCTCTCTCCTCTCTCCTCTCTCCTCTCTCCCTCTCCTCTCTCCTCTCTCCTCTCTCCTCTCCCCTCTCCCCTCTCCCCTCTCCTCTCTCCTCTCTCCTCTCCCCTCTCCTCTCCCCTCTCCCCTCTCTCCTCTCTCCTCTCTCCTCTCCCCTCTCCCCTCTCTCCTCTCTCCTCTCTCCTCTCTCCTCTCTCCTCTCTCCTCTCTCCTCTCTCCTCTCCTCACCTCTTTGCTCTCTCCTCTCCTCTCCATTCTCTTCCCAACTCGCATCCATTCTCTTAGCAAGGGTCTATTCCCTTGCTAAGTCGCTCAAAGTTCTTCCCCAAACCCCATGCCGCCCCACAGGTTGCGCCTTTGACTTACTGCGTTATGGCCACATATCTTCCTGCCGACAGAAACTACTACAGCTTGATTGGAGGTAAGAACTTCCACCTAGCTTTGAGGCGCCTCAAAACTAGACTGCCACCTTCCGCACACCCAAACACTCCTCTCTCTCTCTCTCTCTCTCTCTCTCTCTCTCTCTCCCTCTCTCTCTCTCTCTCTCTCTCTCTCTCTCTCTCTCTCTCTCTCTCTCTCTCTACCTGAGATCCTACCGGCACCCTTACCCTTTCCCCGCCGACCTACCCCTGTGCTTTACAGCCCATCCCCAGCCATCTTCCACCGCGGGTGCATGCATGGCACCTGTTCTCCATTGCACCGTGCCGTGCTGCCAATCTATCTGCCATGATACCTCCCACCACTCACTCCTCGTATCGCAACACGCCTACCAACCGCATGCCAGCCTAAGGACGCGTCACCTCCCTCGATCGATCGTGCAAATTCGAGGAAGATCGATCGTCCACCGCACTAAAATCCCGCGTGTTACATTTAAATCTGTTTGGAAACTTTCTGAACCGAATCAAAACTCGATCCTGCGCAGGATCGATTGAGGCAGGTGACGATCCTAAGCAAGCTGATAGGGTCGTCTCGTACGGAGCAAGCAGTGGTTGGCTTCGCTTATTGTGATTGTCTTCATCCCGCAGCCCTCAAGCAATAGGCCAGATGGGTGGGCACTGGGCCTTGGAATCATCGCCTCCTTTTCCCCCTGCCCGTCCCACTTCCCTGTCACCCACCCCACGCCCTGTTCCCTGTTCTCTTGCTGCCTGCCCTCCAATGGGGGTTGCAACTTGCATGTGGTGTGGTGGTGATGAGCAGAGCCGGGGCTGTTCAACAAGTATCTCTTCCTTGACTACACCAACGAGATGGCTGGATGGATGGACGCCCCTAACTGTAAGCTGCTGCTGCTCACCCTACCCGCAACACCTGCTCGCCCCTTCCATCTTTCCAGCCCACACACACCCACCGAATGCCCCTTTCGTCTTTTGAGTCTGTCGACCTTTCAGTCTTTTGGGTTCTGCTGTGAGCATCGCCTATCTTCTACCCTTGTACTGCTGTTACTGTAATCTCTAAGGCAGGTCAATCGTTCACTTGCAACAGGCATTGCATTGCCACCACTGACACACCAGAAATATGTGGCACATAGATTACTGTACCATCGATCTCTCATACTACCTATGTGCTGCGGATCGCACACATGCTTGCCCAGTGTCCGAATCGCCACCCCCCTCTTCTTTCGGCCCACTATTCAATCTCCTATGTCGTGTGTGCTTCTTGCTCTCTTTCCCCGCACTCGCCACACACCATATCTGGCACGTCACTCCTATCTACCCTCCTCCCCTCCCTTCCCCTGTCTCCTCCCCTTGCCTCTCCTCTCCCCCCCTCCCCACCCATCTCCTCTTCTCTCCACTCCCATCCTCTCCTCTCCTATTCCATCCTCTCCTCTCCTCTCCTATCCACTTCTCTCCTCTCCTCTCCTCTCCTCTCCTCTCCTCTCCTCTCCTCTCCTCTCCTCTCCTCTCCTCTCCTCCCATCCCAACAGGTGGAGCTGAGCCTCTGCTGCCGCCGCCCTCCCCTCCTCCACCACCCTCGCCTGTTTCCAATGGGGCCACCCACTCCTTCTCCCCGGTGGCAGCAGCACTATCATCTGCCATTGTCCTTGCCATCTCTGCCGCTCTGCTTGCTCTCAGTCTTCACTAGAGCCTGTTGAGCCCAAGTCTAGGTCTCAGGAGCATGCTCTCTCATATGTTCCTGTTCGCTGGCCTACTTGTGGAAGCTTATCAGTCGTGTGGCCTGCTGTGGGTGGTTTACTTCAAAATCAAGGTAGCTTTTTTATAGTACCAACCCTGTTGGCCCATTTTTTCGTTTGGGGTGTTATCTGTTCCTTATTTGCGTGGGCTATTTAGACAACACTATGGTAGCCTCAGTATAATGTATGTACGGGGTACAATGCATCTTGACTGTACCCCCACCCCTTCGCCCTGTGGTTGTCTAACTAGATGTTATATCTATATAGCTTTTGTAATGTGTTCACTGTACCCAATCCCCTAATGCAATTTTCCCTCTCGACATGGTATCGATCTACCGGTTGGTTAGATCTCACTTGTGCTCAACTCCTAGGTTTCTAGATAACTACCTACCTACCTACCGTATGTTCCTAGTCTAGCCCTGCCCCTAGCCAGCTCGAACTTGCCTCTCTCAATTGCCTAGCGCTCCCCACTGCTGCCCCGTCGCCTAGCGCGCCCAGCTGCCCCGCCGCCCAGTAGCCTAGGTCATGCCCCTTCACCCAGCCGGCCCCACGGCCTCATTCGCGCGAGCAGCAGCGACATCAGTGTGTTGCTGCCCTTTCGCTGCAGCGGCGGCACGCCACTGCCTCATTAGCGCGAACAGCAGAAGCAGCATCAGCAGCAGCAGCAGCAGCAGCAGCAGCGCACTGCCACCTCACTAATGCAAGCAACAGCAGCAGCAGCAGCAGCAGCACCGCCGCCGCCGCTACCGCTGCTGCCTAGACCACCGCAGCCGCTACTGCCTAGGCCGCCGGCGCCGCCGCCCGTGCCGCCGCCGCTGCTGCCTTAGACTGCCACCGCCATTGCTGACTGGACCGCCGCCGCCACTCGTGTGACTGCCACTGCTCACACTACCGTTGTTCTCGCTGTTCCTCTTGTTCCTAGCGCCGTTTCAGCGCTAGTGCCTAGCCGTTCCTCACACCGTGTTCAGTGCTGTTCCTAACGCTGCTTCTCCAATCGTTCCTTATGCCGCCCGCTTGCTTGTAGCTGCACCATGGCTTCCCCTCTGAAATATAGCTCCGTACTAAGCTTTAATGCAGAGGGCCTGGCTATAGATTTTGACGTGCGGCTGATCGACGTTCAGCTCTACCTGCAGAGCCAGCGTTAGGACGACGTGTACCCTGTACGCTCACGTGTCGGGTGAGCTGCCTGCCCTCAAGCGCCCCTCTGCTCTTGCTGATACTGCTACGGATGCAGAAAAGGAGAAGCACGCTGCGGCACGGGCCAAGCACTCGGTCTGGATGTCGCACGATGCAGCTGCACGCCTTGCCCGTAGCAGCCTCCTCCCTCCTACCGAGCGCGTGCACTTTCGCCAAGTTAGGACGGCAAAGGAGTACTTAACGCTATCACTGCTTGTTACTCCACTCCTTCGTCTGCCACCCTAGGCCACAACGTCATGATGTTTCTCTTTCCTAACCTGCCCACTTTCAATGCTACCGCTAACCTGATGAGTCTGTTTCCCTCCCTCTTGACCGATTGCCGCGCGCAGCTCTACTATGCTCCTATGTCCTGCAGTCCCCCTCTATCTCCCCTACGGTTCTTCAGATCCCCTCGTTCTCCAGGAATTTGGTTTGTGTGGGTCAACTTCAAGACCTGGGTGTCACCACCACGTTCCCTGGCACAAGCGGTTTGCGACCTTTATGGACTCTACCACTGGGGCTCCTCTTGCCGCGTTCTCTCGAAAGTCAGGGTCTGATCTCTTTTCACTACGCAATGAGTCTTTCCCCGTGTCTACGTCTTGTCAGGTAGTCGTGTCTTGCTCGTGTTGGTCTCTCACCCTTTACTTCTCTGGCACCACCGCCTTTTCGTGTATGCGTCAGATTGTTTCCCGTCGCCTTCTCACGGGTCCCCTAGAGTCGCTTGGCCCACTTCCTCCCTCATCTGCGCCACCTTGCACTCCCTGCGTTAAGGGCTGCCAACGCGCCGCCCCTCGATCCTCCTTGTTGTCTCGCGCCACTCATCCTCTTTCAGACCCTGCACATGGACCTTTGGGGCCCAGTCCGGGTGGGGCGCTACTTTCTAGTAGTCATGGACAAGCTTCCCGCTACACCACGGTATTCTCGTGGCACCGAAAGGCCGACGTGTCTGACGCTCTTCTCTCGTAGCTCGTGGTCGTCCGCACCTAGCGAATCCATCCTGCGCTTGGCTTGCACTCCGAGCAGGGTGGTGAGTTCACCGCTGGTCGAGTTTAGCATTTGCACCGTGCACGGGGCATCTGCCAGCCATTCACAAATTCGGACCTGCCACAGCAGAATGGGATCGTTGAGCATCGCATTTGTTTGATCATGGAGATTGTTCGTACCTCTGTGGCCCTTTGCAGTTCTCTATGCTGCACACCAAATTAACATGTGGCTTTGTTCCTCACAGCCACTGGTTTCGCTGATGATCCTCAGGATTGGATTCCATGCGCCTACATCTGCGTTCGGCGTATGGGGCTGTCTTGCTCACCTCCGTGCTCAGCTCGCGCTGTCTCCTCTGTCTTCCTTGACTTCCCCTCGTGACTAGTTTTTCTAATACCATTCCTCTCATCGCTCCTTCAGTTCTCGTGACGAGTTTGTATGCATCGCGAAACTGGGGTTTCTGGTTTTCCAACCGAAAGCCAGTCGTTGACGACTGGAGGGGTAAAACCAATCGTCAACGCCTTGCAAACCAGTCCAGTTGGCCAGTAGGTTTCGACATCCCAGTTTTCCGGCGGCTCATTTGCGTGTTGCCAGGCATTTCATCGGAATGTTGGTTAACACCAACCAATCACTAAGACACGGGAGGCGAGCCTCCGGCTTGGCTGAGGTTGGGAAATGCCCCAGTCGCTAGCGAACCAATCGTTTGATTGGAGGTTCCGATGTATTGGGGCTTCGACAGTGTGGGACGAGAACATCGTAGTTGTGACCTGTTAATGAGACATTCTGGCACATGTAGATGTGGCATGTAGAACGAGAATTCATTTCAGCATAATCTTGGTTTTTTCTTCGCCAATGTTATTATTTTCACTGTAATGGATAATTGTGGTATTTAAGGTGAGTTACATTTAACGAAACTGCTGTTGAGAATTTTGCTTGTAAGATTATATTTTTCTTAGGTAGCAATGGTAATTGAATTATCACATTCAGAGACACCTACATTCAATATGCATATGCTGGACTGTAACCACGTGTTACAGGATTTGCCAAAGGCATGCACGCGAAAACGGAAGTGTATTGACGCACGTCGATCGCACGATCCCTTACTGCACCGCACTGAATAATTCTGAAAACATTTAAACATTACTACACCTTTTGTTACTCCGCAAAATTTAGATTCAATCGCAAGTTAGGTGATACAGAGGCCGCGTCCTGCACATCTTGTCGGTGGGCTGGGAGGGAGGGTGGTGCGGATTTGCAGGGACTGTTGAGGGGCGAGAGTAAAAATGTACACGTGGCCCAGATTTCACGCGTGTACACACGATCCCCCTCCCGTTCGGACTTCTGGCCATTCGCCTTACCCAATCAAAGCAAGTCGACGGCAGAATGTGTGTGTGAGGTTGACCCAGGGTGATGCCGTGGCAATAGACTAGGGTAAAGAAATGCCACCGTGTCCCGAAATTGACGCGTGGAGTTGCACAGTGACTCCCACACTCACCCACCCAACTGTACCCAACAGCCAGATTGAGCGTCAGGTTCTGTTTCTCCTGATGCATCCCACCCGCACCCATCCCATCCTCTCTGCTCGAATTCACAGATCAGTCTTTCATTTTTTTCGTCAATCTTCTGCTCCATAGCTGTTTCTCACCTCTACTCCCTCCGCGTCTCCTACTTAGAACGAGCATTCCACAGGCTCAGTTTAGCTGGCGCCGAGGGCACTGTTTCTCTCGACGTCATCAACACGAAATCGCGTGGGGGATATTCTCAGGTAATCAGAAATCCAAAGCATTTTTTTTTCTTTTTCTTTTCCAGATCTGTGCTTTCCTTCAAATCTGAACAATGTAGGTTTCGTCCGTCGTCTCGAAAGTGTCAGTGCTCTGCGCGAATGTTCACACTTCCCTTTATCATGCTGCCGTGATTTCGCTTTATTTTCCTTGAGGCTGCTTCTTCATCGTGTTATCTGTGCCATGTTGAGAATGGTTAACCACCCTGCTTGTACACTACGTTTTTCCAGGTGTTTTGCTGCTACCGCACCTACATTTCAACGCCCAGAGGTAAGCCAGCATTGCATGGAGCAAGAATACTTCGCTGCTCTATTTATCTCGTTGAGCTGTCGGTTTTTTCTTTTTTTTTCCGTTTTTGTGGGAAAATGTGTATATGACCAGCAGGGTTATTGGGTTTCCAGACTACATTCACTAACATTGTTTATGGCTTTTGTGTACCTTGTACCTGCAGGCCTGCTGAGGATGCTTCAGCTGAAGACTCTTTGTTAGGGACTTCTAGATGTAGGCACATTGAGGATTGGGACGTGGTGCTCAGAGTTGTGTCAACTATATACACTTGCATTATACCATTTTATAAAGTTGGCAAGATCCTACTTGGCAGAATGGAAGAAGGGGGGCATTATCGATGTGACGTGAAGGACTGCATTGCGAAATTTTCTACTTCGTTGGCAAAGGCATGGCATATGTCTAAGGGAAAACACAAGTTCAAGGCTCCTGACGCAACTCCAGAGCTGCGAAACGAAAGCAGCCAAGGCGGAGCTGCAGAGGCGCTCCTAGCTGCTGCAGAGCGCATTCGCACGAGACCAACAAAACGTACCCGCATTGATGCGCAGGCAGAGAGTAGTCGCATGGCAGAGGACGTGGGCGCTGCAGAGATGAACGAGGACCCAACAGGGTATCACTTCTCCTCCGGTGGTGACACATCGAAGGTGGATCCCGACGCACGCGTGTATCGTTTTGTAAGGACGGCTGCAGGAGGTTCCGGACTCTCGAGGGTGGATATCAAGGAGTTG